CATTGAAATCTGTCACATCAGTCAGGCTCCAGGTTTCCAGCAAGTGGCTGAAGATCGCGGGTGGCGCGAAGGCCCAAGTGCTGCAAAGTGCTATGGCCATCAGCCCAGCCGCAGGTCAGCCGTGGCTGGATGGATTGAGCATGTGAAGTTGATGAATCTCTCATTTGGAGGTTTCCTAAGTCATGGGGGTACCCCAAATCATCCGTTTTAGTTGTATTTTCCATTATAAACAATCCAGCTCTTCAGGGTACCCCATTTATGGAAACCCTCATTTGAATCTAGCATTTTTTTCTGGATGACATGGATGAAACGGATGAACTCCCATGTTTTTTGATGTTTTTTGATATTGCTTTGAGTCGTGTTTTTGTTTCAGCAGGAAAAACGCCGGCTCAAGTTTTACATGTTTACAAAGTAAAAACAAATTCATATAGAACCCCCATGAACCACAGCTGCCATAGCTGGTAATGTTTGCTAAGATTCAATCATGGGGAATTTCAGGGTCCTAAAACGGAGGTCCTGTACCATTTAAGCCCATGCTTTGCGGGGATACATATCCCTTAGTACATTGTTACATCGGCCTTTTTTTTGGTAGGTACCTCCCAATTTTCCGGTTCCTGAAATGGCCATTGGTTTAAGATGATTTTGTGGATTTATAATATGTGGATACCCATAGGATCCATGTATGCTATATATGGTAACATTTATCATCAATTTATTACCCCCAATGTTAGCATATATACCATACATGGATCCTATGGGATCTGATATAGCCTTTTTGATTTCGATCTCTGGCAGCGCCTTTTTCTTCAAGGGAAGCCGTCGGGAACGCGCGCCGTACGCAGGAATCACCTTGGAACTGGGTACCTACTGCGGTTTCTCTGCCTTGCACCTGGCCAAACGTAGTCGTGTGGCGCCTTGGCTGTGAAAATGTCCGGTGTAGATAAATGGCCAGTGGTTAGGTAAATTGAGATGTCGAATGATTTTTATGTGTAAACTATGGTAGACTTAGATTTAGATGTCGATCCAGATTTTGATGGATAGATGGTAGATGGATAGAGAAGTGGTATGAAATGGTAGATCTAGATATGTAGATCTCGTGGGAGAAGACTGGCCAGGAACCCACCCGTCGGGGATCAGCAGGAGCGGAATCCACCCCCAAATCGTCGATGAAAACCAACCTTGGCATTCCTTAAAATATCAACATGGCCATACCCATAGTATCCATGTATGCTATATATGGTAACATGGATCCCATCAATATACTCAAAATGTTAGCATATATACCATACATGGATCCTATGCGATAGATAACCTACATAATAGTATATAATAGTTGTGTTATTGCTGTGATTTTTCGAGTAAGTCATCCTGGCAGGTGACGATCGAGGCGGATTTGGGTCATGCTCTCATTGCGCAGAAGGTCATTGAGCATGCGGGAATGTCACATAAGGCCGGGCGGGGTTTGGGTGACCCCAGGCGGCCAAAAAAAGATGACCCTATGGTTGGGGCCTGGCTCGGGAATGTGGCCATCAACTCTTATAACTTGTTTTTTTGGTTTGGGTCCCAAGGGGGGGGATGTACTAGTTTATGGTTTTAATGTTTTATGGGTTATAGACCATTATAAACCAAGTTAAACCAAGTTATAACTCGGGAGTCTCACCTTGCCGGGTAATATCATGTAAGATCCTGTTTCTTAGCTGGGTTTCTATGGCTATGGGAATCTAAGCTTAGCTGGGACGTGCGAATTTTATATCAGCGCGCGTGTTCACAATTGATGGTGAATCAGAGTGAATTATGCAGATTTAATGTAGAATACGCCTTCCATTCTGGTCCTCATAGGACGTCAATATGGATTCAGTGTGGATCCAACCCCATTCTACACGTCCAACTGAGATCTTGGAAGGACTGTTTTACATGCTGACATCACCCACGCACTGTGGGTTCCCATGGTGAAATGAAACATGTTTGAGGATTTCAGTGATCTTGAATCTAACATACTAAATATATATATATATCTATCTATCTATCTAAGTTACTATACCGATCTTCACTAAGTCTTCAAGGCATTTTTCCCGACCCCTCCAACCATCTTGGGCCCCCGAATTCAAATGAATCCTCAGCCCAGGTGGAAATCATCACTGGCCATACGGAAGATGTTCTGCCCTGGTTGCCTCAACACTTGGCAGGTGACACGGTGACGACGTTAAGCCATAGATGGGATAGGCCAAGGCGAGCTATATAGAAGTAATTTAGAAATATATATATATATATAGAAATTGGAAATAAGTTAGAAATATAAGCTATATAGAAGCAATTTGGACATATATATATATATATATAGTATAAATATATAGAAACTATTGCTTAGAGATGCTTAGAAATGGCTTCCACGAAGTGGGCATGGCAATCACAGCAGTGGCGTACTCGCCAAAAACATGACTCAACATACCCGCCCAACATAGCCAGAGACCCATCCCAGAATGCTGACGCGAGCTCACCTGTATCTCAAGATGTTCTATTGTTCGGAAATCCCCAAACATGTCGTTAAAAGCAAGAAAGGAACATCGATAATTACATGCCCAACATGTCCCAATAGAACAAACATGTGTACCCTTTAGTAGTTTAACATAGCGAAAATTGCCCATTTAAAAAAAAAAAAACTTTTAGTGAGTCCCATGTAAATTACCCTGGTTGGTGGTTTGGAACATGAATTTTATGTTCCATTTCATATATGGGATGTCATCCCAACCCCATTGACGAACTCATATTTTTTGTTTATAAACCATCAACCAGTTATTATGGGCTTTTAATATATATATATATACAATTATATATATATATATATATATACAGACATACACACCCTGCTATTAATATATGTTTCAAGATGGTTATTGCACCACCAAGCAGCACCGATTTTTAACATGCTGTCCATGTCTGTCTGTTGGGTAAACCAGGTGAGATGGTGAGCTTCGTCTTCATGGATCAACGAGGATCCAGGTATCACGAGGTGCCCCAGAAGGGCAGAATGGCGACATGACACGTTGATTCGTTTCATTACCGTCTGGTAAACTAACAGTTTGCTATTGAACATGGCCATTTACAGTGAGTTTTCCCATTAATAGCATAAAATGATGATTTTCCATAGTTATGTAACAGTTTACCAGAGGGTACTAGTCATTATACATCATCATATTGTGATGAATGTGATTAATGTTAAGATTGTCATTGTTTTTAGCTATAGTGTTATTTAAGATTGCTCATTATTCTTGGTAGTTTTTAGGATTTTTGGACTGGTGCCGGCCAAGAACTATACAATAAACAGAGCAACATGAAAGAAGTCTCTACAACATCCGCGATTGAGCCCCGAAGCCAATGGGATGACTAGGAAGACTGACGCCAGGTGCTTTGTTCACTCACAGGTTGTAAAAGAATCCGAGGCCACATAGATTTCACTACATCACGTGTCACTATTGATACCCTCTGGTAAACTGTTACATAACTATGGAAAATCACCATGCTATTAATGGGAAAACTCACTATAAATGGCCATTTTCAATAGCAAACTGTTAGTTTACCAGGCCGGGTACCTCTGAATTAGTCTTAATCGACACAAAATCATCCAATTGACTTGTCTTGTTGGTGCTGTACAACACACGTGCCAGCAGCCGAGGATTTGGAAGTGCTCAAAAGCTCTGGACTGCTGATGGACAAAGCAGTGATTGTAGCAGATAACGAGTCTCAGTTGCAGTTGATGTGAGGGGTTCGGCCTATTTTGGCCTGTAATACTCAGCAAATAACATGTGGAAGGCTTGGGCTTACCCCGATTTCTTGGCGCTTGACATTAGGCGAAATCAGTGGTGGTTTCCATACATAGCCCATCCAATCATGTATCATACACACGTCACATGTGTGTGTATATATATAACAATAAATATCTATTTGGTTATATGTATATATAATTCTATATACACACACATGTTATATATCTACCCTCATGTTGTTCTGCAATCTTTGGGGCGTTGTTTTGCAGTGTGCAGCACGAGGTGCTGAAACCTGGAAGTCCCAAATTTCTGTGGTCCATCGTGCGCGCCTGGGATGGATGATTGGAAAACCATCCAGCTATGGCAGCCATCGAAATATGTACTGCTTGGTGGTGACTGGAACATGAATGTAACTATTAATGGTTAATGATGGTTATATAATGATGGATGATGATGGTTAATGATGATTACATCATCTGATTGGTGGTTTGGATGAAGTTTATCTTTATGTTGGTTAATAATGGGTAAATCAACTATAAATGGGCTTTGGAATGTGTGTATATATATACTGGTTGGTGGTGACTGGAACCATGGAATTTGATGACTTTCCATTCAGTTGGGAATTTCATCTTCCCAACTGACTCATATTTTTCAGAGGGGTAGGTATACTACCAACCAGATTTAGCTTTTCTGACTGGTTTTTGACCCATAACTGGTGATGAGGTGTTTGAAGCCATTGGGTGGTACCCCCAAAAGCATCATCCACTCGTCATGGATGACTGGATGGCCATGACTTAGTCTTGCAACAACCATGGTGACTTGGGCATCCATCGTTGAGGGAACACCCATAATAATCCATAATATCACGGGAATAAAATCTATAGAATGGATATGTCAGTGAATAATCCCATTGCCCCAAGATGAAAAACAGCCCCCAAATGGCCCCCCAAAAAGATGTCAACCGTGCCCTGCATCCACTAGGGTTGACCAGGGGTTTGTCTAAAAATTGGTGATTCAGCACCTATGGCCATCCAAAAAATAGTCATAGGTAGTGATAATCATTGGGATTGGAGGTATCTGATTTTCAGTCAAAGCCTGTTTGAAATTAAGGCATTTTTCCCTAAAAATTGTTTATTCAATCCGTTGGTTTAAGGGAAAATAAGGAAACTATGGATTTATTCACCAAATATGTCTTTTTTGTTGCACATGTTCCCTCAATCCAGTTCCAGAATTTATTTGTGGGAAATAGTTGTTATTCGAATATTGTTTTGTGATGTTATTTCTGTACATCTCTGATTTGCAAATGAATAGTGTTAGATGGTTGCTGCTGATAAAACCAAGGGGCTTGGACTCCGCACGTCAATGACGGGATTATCACGTCCTGGGGTATGTCCCCAAGATTGAAAACCATCAGTTTGTCCCGCCAATTACTTGGCTCAGCCTTGTTGGGCTGAATGAGAGGGGGCGAAGTGGACAGCCCAGCAATGTACCCTTGACAGCCAAGCAGCTAAGCAGTGTATGTGCAGGAAACATGACATGTGTTGATATGTGTTTGCTGATCCTGAGCTGCACAGGTGATTTTGATCAAAACGCCATCGTCGAGTTGGAAGAGCAGCATGCAGCGAAATAGTGAGAGCTGCAAATTGAGCTTCCCACCACATCTTAGCTCAATGGTTAATGGTCTTCCCCCACATATTTTTTAAATGGGGACTTGCAGGTTAAAGGTGGGTTGTAAGCCCATCCAACCGTAGAGATATCCCCATAAATCCATCCCCATAAATCCATCCGTTAGCCTAATATATGCCAAGTTACCAATTTTTTTTGAGCCAATGTTGTAGGAATTCTTTGAGATTTGTAGTAGGACTTACGAGATTTGGATTATAATCTTTAGGAGTGGCTTCAACATCACGTTTCAGGATGCATGTAGACTGATTTACCAGGGTGACTTTTTAAGATCAAATAAGTATTTTTTGAATCGGCCGAGAATGGGAGACTCAACTATGGCAATGCAAAAGGGGGTCAACCCCAAGTCACCATCGGTTTCAATACTAAAATGCTCTTTTATGACTTGGAGGATATGAGGGTACCCTTATTTTGGGAAATCACCAAATAGTTCAAAACCAATAGCATTCTATGCAAAAATGTGTGCCCCGGTTTGTATTCGTAATGAAGGTTGACGTGTTTCAAGCGATGTCTGAATTTGACCCAGAACATCCCAGAACTGTACGACCACTACTGGTGGTTACTCTTGAGTAAAAGCGGGGATTCGCTGTTTTTTTTAAAGTGCGTGACCAGCCAGTAATCTTTGAAATCAATATATTTGTTTCCACAACAAGACGGGGATTTGGATGGTGAAGTTTTGCGTTTCACATGTCCATGTTGGGAAAATATTGGACACCAATTCTAGATTCCATCTATATGTAAACTGGATGGTGGTTTCATCTATTTATTTTCTGCCTTGAGTGATGATCCCCGGTGACGAACATTTTTGTGGGGGGTTGAAAATACCATGGGGATAGCCTGTGTGGTGTAGCTTGAGGTATTTGCCTGCATGCATTCAATCCCTCATGTGGATGATGCCAAAAACCCCTCCTTGCCCCCCTCCATGTTGGCTGTCCCTGCCATGATGCAGTCTTGAACCTTCAAAACAGCCTTGGCCATGCAGTTACCCTCCATGAAGTAAACACGGCAATGGGAAATTCCGTATAAATCGACATTTGAATGTGAAGATCATGTATAACATTCTATAACTATTCGGGGCATTGTAATTCTATTTGGGGCATTGTAATTCGATTGCTTTGGCATAATTTTTCACTTCAATAGATATATAACTCGCGTATTGAATACATGCAGTTCTTTTTTTTTGGATGTGCTGATGTTTCCAGATGACTGAGCCTGTACCATCCATGTTTCATTGAAAAAATATGGCATCATCGCAAGGGCCTGCTCGGAGGTCAACCAGCTAGTATCATGTAATATATATATATATGGGTAAATTATAACGACCTCACTGCGACCTCACTGGGAATAATGGTTAGTTAGGGAAATCATCCCCAAATGGCCTTAAGATTCAGGTTAGTGAAATATAAGTTACCCATATATATATATAACTATATACTTGGCATATGTATACACAGCACATATTAGCATATTATACTAACACATTTAATATATATATATATATATACATGATATGTGTATATCATATATCCCATGAATTCCCATCCCTTACTTGTTGTTTGATGCTTTAACCCATGATCAAAAAAACATAAATCCTAATGCATAGCGGCTATGGCCATGCTCCAGGTATGCCATGGAGCAGGTGAAAGATTGGATGACCGTAAGTATTTTCCGCACCTTGGTCCACTGTTTTTCTCCCAGGAATCCTACTTGTTTTTGTGGTATACAAACAAGCCATAACATCCAGAGAGCTGGGGATATTCTATATAGAACTAGGGCTACAACCAATATCATTTTTTGGGTGAACTACTAAATTATTATCTATAAGATTAACGATAAAACCATTACAACTTCAATATAGTTGTTATTTTCATAGGCAAATTACTATTACAACGTTAGTTAAATACTGGTTATAGACCATAAGTACTACAGGGGGCACCAGCTTGAAATAAACCGTGAAAAAAGGCCCGAAATCCTGCGTATCTGTCGGTGAGTTCTTTGGTGGTTTAGAAAATAGCAGTTGATATCAAATAATATTATGTTTTGAGTATCCAACTAACACATACTACATACTATCTACATACTATCTACATACTATCTACATACTATCTACGTTGGTTAAAGTTTTGTGATGTTCCATTTTCCATAGTTAGTGCCTTGTTTCATGCTGTATACCATCTGGTAGAATCTAACCTTTTACAGTCAGATCACCGAACTCAGCCAGGTTTTTTTTGAAGAGGCCTCTTTGGGACGATCCCGGCGGGAACAATGCAGGAAAACGATTAGGGTAACTATGGGTACCCGGCCTGGTAAACTAACAGGTTGCTATCGAAAATGGCAATAGTTCGTTGATTTGCCCATCCAAAAATGGTGAGTTTCCCGTCAGTTGCCAGTAACAGTTGACCAGGCCGGGTATCGAGGATAACTAGGAGGCTAACTCAAAAATCCACTTCCCGAAATCTAAGGAGCCGGCTCCATCAAACGTCCCATGCTGGAGATGGAGCCACCAGAGCACATCAGAGAGTTGGACTTTGAGGCGGCACAGATCCCCATGGTGCTTAAAAAATAGCGAAAAAAACATGTCTGCTTGGTGCGTTATTTTAAAAACTCCTGGTTGTCACCATGGTTGATACTTATATATACTGATAACATCTTATAACTTTAGGTGGGTTTATAAACCAACTTATAGGTGGGCCCCACATTGTACCACATTGGATCACATTGGTTTGGATTCTTTAGCAACGAACATGGGGGATTTTTCACAATTTCATCAGCTACACTGGTGATTTCATCGGGCAACTGCGGCAACGTCACTGACGTCACTGTTTTTACGAAGCTTCGGATTGGGGGACCCGAACTTGTTGGGTGAATCACTAAATTTTAAAACATACTCAAACTATCCAGATAAAGCGTTTAATGGTGTCTTTAGCAAGAAATACTCGAGGGATCTTGAGGGTTCCATTTGATTTGCCGAATGGATGATTTAGGGGTATACCCATGGGTACCCCCATTTTAGGAAGCCTCCATTTAATGAATATATGATCTGGAATTTGGGCGCTGAATGGTGATTTACCCCTATTTCCCTTGGGGTTGATGATTATGACATATTATGACCGTGTTTGGAGAATATTTTGGCGATATGTCATCGACTTGGATACGTAGCTAACAAGATGATTAGGATTAGTTGTTGTTTTTTTTCCGGTGCATTTAAGCAAGAATTGTGAAATTGATCCGTTTTACGAGCAAATATGTGAATGACGTTGAATGACGTTGATACATGATGATAAATGATACGTGATGGTTGGTTAATGGACTGGTTATGATGTTCGGAGTGCCTGGTCGAAATCATGGCAGATCTGGGTTTCGAAAAAAATCGCTCCCAGATTTTGGCTCAGCACCTAGCCCTTAGGCAGATCGATATTGAAGGAACTCCATAGAACTCCATGGTATCACCTGGACTTGGACATGGCATCTATCCGCGCGACACATTGTCACGTGGAGGACAACCTTGGTGGTTTCCTTCAGGTGAACATGGAGACACATTCCACGGATTTTCTGCCTGCACAACATGCAGATGTCCGCAACATGTGGCCATTTTGGGAGGTCAAAGTAAGTAGTGTGCGCCAGGTTTATGAACCCGAGACAGTGACTCCACTATTGCATTTTTTTAGTCAGTTCAGCAAGGCCGTGGTGATGGTGTTGTATGGTTTCCTATTGATGTTGATCACTGTGTGGCTTCTGCGTGGGTTGCCAAAGAAAGCACCACAAGACGCAAGTGTCAAGGATGGCTGTCCAAGGTCATGGCTGATCTTTCTATGTACAACCTATGGCTTCATTTTCTGTACCACAGATCAGTATGTCCCAAGTCTTCCACAGATGGGTGTGGATCTTTCCGGCTCTCAAGGCTGGGATTTGCTGAACATGCTTGTGAAAAAACAAAAATCCCCATAGTGAATCATTGATATCATGGTCAATCCATCATTTGGGGAAGTTAGTGGTGGATTTAATGATTAACCAATGGGAAAATTAATGAAAAAACACCACTGGATTTCCCATGGATTTCCCTATTGGAATTGATGGATGTTGATGCCCAGTAGACTCTCAGTAGACCGTGAACATTAGATAAAATAAAAATCCCTGGTTGACAGTAGACTATATATCTAGATAGGTAAATTATAACGACCTCACTGGAATCATGGCTAATAAGGGAAATCATCCCCAAATGGCTTTAATTCAGGTTAGTCCAGATATATAGAGTATTATATATTCAATTATATAGTAATATCAATATGCATCCTTGGTCTTGTAGTGTTCGCATCTGTGTTATTCGTGTTGGCCCCGCAAATCCAGGCGTCATGAGTGCGACCGTACAGTTGAACTTCATCGTGAAATCCATCGCCGGACTGGTCACAGCTGGTATCTCTGATCACATCGGGCGTCGACCTGTGACTCTCATTTGTTTGTCTCTGTTGCTGGCTGGTGGTTTTAAAGATCTTTTCTGGTTGGTGGCTTGGAACCATGGAATTTTATGACTTTCCATTCAGTTGGGAGTGTCATCCCAGCTGACGAACTCAAATTTTTCAGAGGGGTAGGTCAACCACCAACCAGTTTTCGATATTGTCCATCCTATTTTGGGATGCAGATCCAAATTGATGACTATTTTTTGGGGATGGATTGACATGCATTGAAGTCATGAACCAGGTTAGCCTTTGCCACATTCGGCTGTGCATGTGCTCCTAATATCAACTGGTTTCTGGCGTCGCGCTTCCTACAGGGTCTGGGCGAGGCTTTAGAGCCCGTGATCTATGCAGCCTGTCGAGACTATTTCTCAAAGATCGAGGAGCGGATTATGGTCATTTCCTGGATCAAACTCATAGGTATCACCGGTCAGATTGTGGCTCCAATTTTTGGCGGCTTTGCTAGTGCGCTGTTGAATTGGCGCTTCTCCTTTTTCTGCTTGGCCGTCGTTTGGGCAGCTTCTGCTGCTTATGCGGCTCGATATATGGTAGAGAGCTGCCCGGACAATGATGATGCAAAGGCAGAAGGCATTTATTTGAGCGGCATTTGGAGAATCTTAGCACCAGCTTCCCTCTGCAATTTGCTCACGCAAATGTGTGCCATGACTTCGTTTTCAGTCTTCAGCGCCAACATCGGGTACGTTGCACAGGTCAGTTACGGCCAATCCTCTATCGCCACCGCGACGATTCTGCTGGTCTGGGCGGTTTTAGATGCCTTGGGTGTAGGTGTCATGCAATCCATACGATCTGCCTGTGGCATGTCGATCCTCCAAACGGGCCGCTTCACGGTGGTGATGATGGCTTTGAGTGGCATATTGTCAATGGTTCTGGGGATCTATGCTGAGCACCTCTGGTCCTACTTGATCGCATGTTTCTCCCAATCGCTGTGTCTTGCAGCCGCCCTGGTCCCTTTGAACGTCTTGTACTCTGAGCCCTTGGAAGATTGCGCTGGGCTGGCTGCCTCTGTAGAACTGACGTTAAAATATGTACCGCCCTGTCTCTACTCCATGATCTGCACACAAACTTTGATCAATTCAGGGGTCCAGAGCTATATGAACCTGCAGTCCATAGGCTACGTGGCTGGTCCAGTCTTCTATATTGGCTATGAAGTCTTCCAGCGGCTGCAACCCAATGCAACTGTCGGTGAAACAAATGCTGGCGGCAAAGATCCTGACAATTCAGAAGAACCAGAAAACTGCAAATCGTTCGACGTCAACCCTTCTTAAGCAGCCAAACTTTGCGACAGCAAACTAACTGCTGACAGCGCATGTTGCGGACCCCCCAAAACATGTCTCGTTCAACGTGGGACTGATCGCATTTTCATCATCACTTGGGGAGCTGTTTGTCTACTAAATGAGGAGATAAGGAGCCCAGACTTCTGGGAATCAAGTCATGTTTTGGTTTGTTGACTAATCCAAGTAGAGATGATCTTGGCAATGTCATATAGGAAGGAACATGACATATCGCAAACAATGAGATGTTTTTTTTTTTTTTTTTAAGGGGATACCGCCCGTGTCACTTGGTGGTTCCAAAATTTGCTGATTGTCCAGTAATTATCGTCCAAGCAGTGTCAGTGTTTTTTTGTTTTTAAACCCCAACGTGTTGGTGAATTCCCTTGGCCAAATCCAGTCGGTCGTCAAATCCCATGGATTTGGGGGTGACATCCCTTTTTTGAAATGTGTTTAGTCAAGTTGAATCCCAATGATTTTGTTATACCCCATAAATCCACCAGTAAGCCAAGTTATAAACAGTAATTTACATCCAAGAATGTTCATGATATCCATAGTGAATTATTAAGATTAATTAGCGATACTTGTATCCATTGTTAAGATCGGTTCTTACCGTTGCCTATACACCATAATTTGCAGCTTATAAGTACAGTTACAGCAATTACATTCTTAATGTACACAAATATACACAACATTATTTGTTTTATAGATGATCAACAACCGATTGATAAGAATTCATCATTTGGATGATGTATTATGCATATATATATATATCATACACATATATATATATATATATATATATATATATATGTATGTACTTATATATATATATTATACCATCTGTTTATTTAACATAGCCATGGAAAATCATCATTTTTAAAAACGGTAAACCATCTATTTCTATGGGCCATCTATACCATGGCAAACTGTTAAATAACCAGAGGGTATATATCTTGTATATGAAATGATATGGATATATCTCTTGGTGGTTTGGAACACTTTTTACTTTTCCATATATTGGGAAGAATAGGCCCAACTGACTTTCATATTTTTCAGAGGGGTAGGTCAACCACCAACCAGATATAATATATATATATATATACAATGTGAGGCCCCCAAGATAGCTACGTTGGTTCAAAAAATTCCAATGTCACTTTGGTTTATGGTATTTATAACTATAGTTCCTGGGGCGAATCTAAACCAACTTATATCTTGGGGACCTCACATTGTAGATATGTGCAAAACAATATAGGATCCATGTATGGTATATATGCTAACATTTGGGGTATATTGATGGGATCCATGTTACCATATATAGCATACATGGATACTATGAGTATATATATATACATGATGAATGACCCTCCAGAATTTCAGGCGCAACAGCTCCGGAGCAAGACGCACCAGCCCAAGGTGGGCCTCCCGGGCGTCGCTTGGCATTCTGCGGCTGCCATAGTGGATGGGCCGTTGCGAAATCCGAGAAAGCACCAATTTTGGATGGTTGAAACATGGTGAAACATGTTGAAACCCTACAGTCATGGCCATTTACCAGTTATAACTGGTTATAAATGGGATTATACATTCTATAAATGGGGTTATAAGTACTTATAACTGATAAATGGCCATAACTGTATAAATAATATGGATTGCTGGGATGTTCATCTATCAACTGGCTGGTTGAAAGCCTATAATCTTGTAAATGATGGGATGTTTACCATCTATCAACTGGTGATTCGGATTTCGCAAGCATCCACAGTATTGAACATGACTGTGCATATTAAGAGAACATGACTTGATGGATCCAAGCTTTTGCTCACAGAACTGGATCTTAAGGGAACATGACTGTGGAATGTCATTGTGGTTTCCAGACATATTTATACATATGTTATAGTGGCAAAAACCTGCAAAACCATTGCCCTCGGTCCGTCGGTTTCCAAGACCACCGAAACAATGGTTGATCAGTTGGTCATTCTTGGAAGCTCAAAGCCCCCTGAGCAAAATAGGGTTCCAGCAGTAACCAATCAAACTTGATGTTGATGTTGGAAGGTCAGGGACTTGTCAGTTTCCTTATATGGAGGTTTCCACACATGGGGGTAGCCCAAAATGGATGGTATTCAATGGAAAATCCTATAAAAATTGAGGATTTAGGGGTATCCCTATTTCAGGAAACCTCCATATCTTCAGAAAACCCATTTTTCGCATCCGCTGAAGCGCTGAGGTCAGATTCGATGAGTGGCACTCCTTCTCCCGCTCCATGCGACAGCGCCTCTGCGAAGTCTTGCAGCTGTCGGTGAGGCCCTTCGTTTCACCCATGGATTTCTCGGATTTGCTGGAGACAAAATCTAAAGCTGCGGAGATCGGAGGTCAGCAGCTTCTTGGGATGTTTGAAGTTGGAAAAGTGGTACCCTCTGGTAATTTAACATAGCTATGGAAAATCACCATCTATAATAGGTAAATTAACTACCAATTGGTAATTTTCCATGGCCATGTTAGTTTACCGGAGGGTAGAAAATGATGCCGGCCCATAGGTCGAAGATGGGTGACGGTCAAGGCATTGTCTTCAAGTGACACTACCAAGCCCAGTTTTCAACGGAAACCCAAAAACCCTCTAAGGGCCGATATCCACATCATTTGTCATACCCTCTGGTAATCAAATGTGGCAATGGGAAAACCCCTTATAGAAGATTTTCCCACTACAACCTTCATGTGCAAGGGATTTCCCATTGCTACCTTTGATTACCAGAGGGTATCAAATGTATTTCCAGTAATGAGGTCATGCAACTGATATGCTCACTGAATCTTGGCACATGGTTTGTTCACTGGATCCTTTTCAATCCTTTTCAGCCATACAGATTCGAACCATGTTTCATTGAAACTCCTGAGTATCAGACCGATACAGTATCATCTAACCATCTTTAATGATGAGTAATTGGTGTTACTATGTCTCCCATTATCTGATATTGGGAACCATATGTATTAATGTTCAACATATGTTTTACTATATGTGTTACAACATGTTTGCTGTTAGATCATGTGTAATGTCAAACAGGTTTAACTATGTGTTCTGATCATATACACAGTTTTATCAATGTCTTTCTACCTGAACGACATTGTCTTACATTATTGTCTCTTAGATCACAATAAACCATAGTCAATGATCATTTGTTAGAATGCCAGATAATTAACCTATATCATAGTATAATGATAAACTGAACTATGTCATAGTTAATGATATTAAAGCATCATCACCATCATCACCAATACTAATAGCAATAATTAATAACAAAAATGATAACCCCATGCTCCATGTATGAAATATTTACCGACATTTGCCCGAACAAAATCACCCAGTTATGTAGGTGTATATTATATATATACCATACATGGAGCATATGGGTAAGACTAGATGGATGTTAAACTAAACATGTTTCGTTGCCACCACCAAGGTGACCATCATTGGAGTCATTTCCCCTGTGCTACTGGGAGGTGGACCGGGGCAACCGGGGCGACACTGCAGGGAGAGCAGGGAAAAAGAAGATGCACTTCATGCATAGATATATATATATATATAATGTGTATATATATACATGTATATACATTTATATATATATATACATATACACATATAGATACATAAATAGAAATAATTATATATACGTTACATATATGGATAAATATACTGTACATCTTTGTATATAGCGATCTACTGAAACTTAGAATGCCAATTTGGAAACGTCACCCTGCAAAAAGTAGCGAGACTTTTCCAAAGAAGTAGCGACCCTTAAAAATATGCCAAAGTCGGCATTTTAAATTTAGCTCCATTTTTTGAAAGCTGGACAGCATTCTAAGTTTCAGTAGGTCGCTTATATATATATATATATACGTGTAATTATATTTATTTTGGTGGGTACCATCCATATATATATATATTATATTACATATATATATATAATTTGATGATGATGACCATCATCATTATCACCATTACTTTTGTAATTTTAGTTCTGATTTCATTGATCACCTCAAAGGTCCCAAGAATTATCCCAGCTGCTGTGACTGAGCCGAGATCATTCAACAAACTGGTCATGTTCAAAGAAAATGGGCCATGTTGATCCATGTTACGCTTGTAAATTGGCTATATTTTCCTGGTAAAACATGAGCACATCATGGAAATGTTCATTATTGTACACACATGCTGATTAAAAACATATAGTTGGGTCTCACAATGTTTCACAGGTATTTAGGATGGGAAATTCAACTTGACATTTTCCAAGGGTCAACAGCTGGAACTGAATAGTGCATGTCACATGTGCTGAGTGTCCAAATCCAAAGCAACGCAATTTGTCAAAAGTTGCTGCGTGCATTCTTCAATTGGTGTTTGCAAATATGTTGGCCTTGTATTTGTTCTGGAGTGCTCAACAAAAGTTACCAAACAATTATCACCCATCGGGAAGCGGCTCAAAATTGTTGCTCCCCAACAAGTGGATTGTGTGATATTAATTACATATTTTGTAAGAGCAAAAACCGTGAAGATCATGGTCTTAGCCATGAAAAAAGATGGGTTTGATGTGTTGTGATCTTGTACAGAGATCATATGGTGTCACACTTGAGACTCGCGTTTTACATTTGCGCGTGTCAAACGGACCCCTACCTCCATATCTAAACCTCACGACGGAGGCTTGGGGCTTCCTATGCCAGCTTCAGCAGTGGCGTTGGCAAAACATCGGATAATTTTGGTGCAACTGGGTTGGGATTTTATGCATTCATAAAACTATTACCTGGGATAAACTAAGGATAAACTAACGTAATTAGATATGGAAAATCAACCATTTGTAGATTAGTTTCCTCCGGCCACATTTACATTAGTTTACACTAGGGTAAATATCTATATCCCCATCAGATCCCACTAAATTCACTAAATCCCCACTGTTGCTGGCCAATCAATGGTCAAGTCCCATTGTATAAATCCCTACAAAATGGGGCCCCCATTTAGGATAGCTAAGTTGGTGAACATAACTCCAATTATCTCCAATTTCATTGTGGTTTATGGTACTTACAACTACGTATAGTAGTATAGTATTCATGAGATTATAAACCAACAAACTTCACTGGGGGGTGGGCCACTAGGGGATGTACTCCCAAAAAAACCGTCATGTTTGTTTCGGGAAAATGGTGATTCGCCTCCTGATTTGGGGGTCCCTCCTATTCTTGAGAGAAAACCTACCGTTTTGCGGGTTGGACTGGTTGGACTGGTTGGATTGGTTGGACGGACCTATGTCCCAGCAAAGTGGATCTTCCTTGATATACCTTCAAAAGAAGACCCGTTCTTTTCCGTTGATGGGATTATGATGGGAATAAATTAGGGGAATCCGTGAATGTCCATCTATGGTGACATTATGGTGATATTTTATTGGGATATTATGACTGCTTGGTGGTGACTGGAACCATGGAATTTTATGTGACTTTCCAGAAACAGTTGGGGTCATATCATCATCCCGACCCATATTCGTCAGAGGGGTGGCTCAACCAAAAAGGTCAACCACCACTAAAGCAAGGCACCGGATGATCCCAGGCTGCCAAGACCCAGAAAGTTCTGAAAAGATAAACGCCAGTATCAGAGCCGTGACCAAAAACATGGGATCCTAATCCTAATTATATAATTTTATATCCATTTATATCCGCTAAAATATCGAATTTTGAACAGGGGTCGAAGCTGGTCCACACACGAAATCGCTGTTGTTGCGTAGCGAGGTCCTGACTGGTTTGTTGCTGCTGTATTCTTCATGCGCTTGGCTCGTTTCTTGGCTGATCGCTGACCGGGCCATCACTTAAAGCGTCCCACAACAGATGTGACACCAATGTCTTGCGTCGTAAAACTCGCGCGGTTCATGTTAAAGAGTCCAAGTAAAATCAAGCAAAAAAACGTTATTGAATTGAATGGTCGTATTTTATTTGATATATATATGATATATATATATATATATTTATTTATTTATTTAATGTATATATATATTATATATATATATATAGATATATATAGATATATATATATATAGATATATATATATATGCCTGTCATTGCTCACCATGGCCCACTCAGCCAGCCCTTGCGTCAGGTGTGGTGGAACCATCTCTTGGGTGGTTCCAGGCAAGTGATGTGCGGCAGGTAAATCCCTACGATAGGTACTATAGTTAGATGGGATTTAGAATAGTAAACCATAGTGTTTTTGTATGAATTGTTTCACTAAGGTTTATGGTTACTATAGTTTTAAGAAAATGATAAACATTTATAAACATCATAAACCATAGTGAAAGTGGAGGTTCCTGTTCACTTAAGATTCGCTGACGGCTTGCATTGTCGGTGAAATGGAGAGTAGTATTGGGGTGTACCCCAGTTTGTCGAAGACATCATAATTAGGCTCTAAAACGGGTAGGAACACCCCGATTCAAGCATTTAGCTATTAAAGACAAGTGCGGCGTTGGAAAACGAGGTCAGACAGTCAGACCCCAAAAGTTCTACAGGACTGGAGAACGGTAGGAACACCCCGTCAATAGCGTTATGTACCAAATATCTTCCGTGGCTCAGCTATCGTTCGGGGGGGGGGGGCACTTTTTAACTGATGTAACTGTGGAGGAGAAGGATTCATGGTGGATATTGTATCATGATATGATAATATGGAGTTTTCCTGAAATAGGCGGTACCCCCAAATCATGCATTTTAGTTGGATTTTCCATTATAAATTATAAACTATCCACTTTGGGATATCCCCATGTCAGGAAACCCCCATATACGTCGGGAGGGTTTCCAGCAACCCCCAAAACAGATAGAAAAGTGAGAAACCTGGAAATATCAAGTAAATATAAAAAAATGATAACATCCTAGAAAGACGTTTCTGTATATATATATATTTTTTGGTTGATATTATGTTGATATATTATATATATGTCATTGAAGCTCATGACCTCAGAGACCATGGCATCATACGACTGGAAAAGTGAATTCAACATGATCCTGTGAAACTACACCATACATGTATTTATGGCTAAATGTTCTAAGTAAGGTAACTGATATATAATGATATATAATGTATGATATGATATGTATGATTCTATGTAGGTATATATTATTTATTATTATTATTTATTATTATTATTTATTATTATTATTATTTATTATTATTATTTATTATTACTATATATGTAGGTATATACTGTAATATACGAAACCGCCTGATTTGTGGCCCCTAAAAGGTAGCCTATATAGTTGACTCCTTGACCCACCAGATTTCGCGAGGCGCTGGGCTGAGTTGAGTTCCAGACTCACCAGTCAACTCGCAGACCAAGCAGATGTTACAGCCTTGGCCCAAGGGGCCCCAGGGGGTCCAGGGGGTGGGGCTCTTGAGCTTACTGTGGCTATTGATTGTGGGATTTCAAACAGTGTATAACTGGAATCAATTGGATATACAGCTAACTTAAATCTGATATGAGATATGTCGGGTCGGAAATGGGGGATTGACATGGATTGACGTCCGATAGCTGTGTTCATACTAGTGAAGATCATGTTCAATTCTTGTTGGCAAAATGCTCTTTTTTCAGCCATGGGGATCGTTGATGGGTTTCACGACTGAGGCTGGGATCGCGTACCTCACCAGGGATTGGGCCGAAATGGCTCGACGTTCTCATGCGGCCTTGGACCAGGCGTCGTCGATTTGCTTGACCTGTGCCTGTGATAGATACTGTATATATATATATATTAGATATAGCTGATATAATATAGATATAATGGTAATATATATATATAGAGATGCCTTAATTTTATGTCATTGGTTTGTGGTTGAGGTGATCACACTTTCCCATGCTTACATGTGGTAGTCCAGGTTTGTGCTTGAGGTTTATGCATTCCAAACTGGGATATCTGGTCCACTGAAAAACGTGTTTTGTGTTTTTAGGGGCTATACCCTCTGGTAAACTAACATAGCTTTGGAAAATGGCCCATTTATAGATGGTTTACCTATTAATAGCATGGTGATTTTCTATAGCGAACTGTTAAATTACTAGAGGGTATTGGGTATACGGTATAGCCTATTTTCATTGCCATTTTCATGGGGATGGGACGATTTTATCATCCATTGGACTTGGGGGAGCCTATCTCATTTTTTGGGCCAACCCAACTCATATTGGCGGTTATATATCAATGTACATCCCCCAAAAAAATATGCTCATCATGTTTGGCTTCAATTTATACGCTGATGTTCCTGCTTGAATCACTATGTATCACCATCCATAGCCATCTATAGATGATGTTCCCAATCAAACCTTGTCATATCCCATAGAATCCATGTATGCTATATATGATGGTAACATTTACCATCAATATACCCCAAATGTTAGCATATATACCACACATGGATCCTATGGTATTTGATGGTAGATCCGCCATTGTTTCAATGTTCACCGATAAGTTATGGCATGCTCAACTCCGCAGAATCATGGTACATGGTCAATGGTCCATGAATATTTCCACCCCTGCTTGGTGGTTTGGAACATGAATTTTATATTTTTCCATATATTGGGAATTTCATCATCCCAACTGTTACTCAGTCATATTTTTCAGAGGGGTAGGTATACCACCAACTATCACCAACTAGATCCTATTCTCCATGATTTTTTGAGAAATTACTTTACTTCGTGTGATCCCCACCATGACATTTATACATTTTCTTACTGGCAAATCTTCTGGCATTCTATCTGACATATCTTCTGACATTCTATTTGACATTCTATCTGGCATATCTTCTGGCATATGATCTGGCATATCTTCTGGCATTCTATCTGGCAAATCTTCTGGCATTCTATCTTCTGGCATTCTATCTGACATATCTTCTGGCATTCTATCTGGGCATTCTATCTGGCATTCTATCTGGCATATCTTCTGGCATATCTTCTGGCATATTTTCTGGCATTCTATCTGGCAAATCTTCTGGCATTCTATCTGGCATATCTTCTGGCATATTATCTGGCATATCTTCTGGCATATCTTCTGGCATATCTGGCATCTATCTGGCATATCTTCTGGCACTTATCTGGCATATCTATCTGGCATATCTTCTGGCATATATCTGGGCATTCTATCTGGCAAATCTTCTGGCATTCTATCTGGCATATCTTCTGGCATATCTTCTGGCATATCTTCTGATGATTCTTTCTGGCACATTCTTTGTCCCATATCTTCCTACATGAGGTCCGGCAGGGAACACTTGGCGTGGATACTCGCGGTTGAGGTCCGGCAGGGAACACTGGGCGTGGATGGTCGTGGTTGAGGTCCGGCAGGGAACACTGGGCGAGGATGGTCGTGGTTGAGGGCCGGCAGGGAACATTGGGCGTGGATGGTCGTGGTTGAGGTCCGGCAGGGAACACTGGGCGTGGATGGTCGTGGTTGAGGTCCGGCAGAGAACACTGTGGATCGCGGGTCGCAGTTGAGCAAGGACGACGAGGACGACGAGGAGGACGAGGAGGAGGAGGAGAGGAGGACGAGGCAGGAGGAGGCGGAGGAGGAGGAGAAGGAGGAGGAGGACGAGGAGGCAACTGACATAAAATCTAACAACCCTCACCTGGCAGGTGGGGAAAAAACCTGGATCCGCCTGGTCCACCTGGTCCTGGTCCTGATCCACGGCGCCGGGGCGCCCATGGCAGGAGTTTTGTGGAAGCTGGCGGACGAGCCTTCATGAGGTGGCCAGCAAGCTCACGGACATCTGGCGCCTTGGTGACGTAAAAAACCAAGGCTGGCTGGTTGGTCTGAAGATTTTTGGGGATATGGGATAGAATTTGATCATTTTAAGAGGAAAAACCATGGGAGAATTTACACATAGCCATTATTCATATAATTCCTCTGAAAAATCGCCAATGAGGCTGGAAAATCCATTGGAAATTGGAGGTCGCCTATTTTCAGAGCTCACATGGAAGGTTATTTTGTGTTGGGAATCCCCCTTTGACTTCAGGAAAACCATCCCAGCAAGCAGACCATGAGAATTACCCCCTATTCTTACGGGAAAGATGCGAAAAGTGGTCTTGATCAAGGCAGGGTCTATTAAATTATTAGTTGGAGGGGTGATACATACCTTCAAAAATTGGAATCATGTTTTGTTTTGACCTGATGCTCTCAGTGCCCCGTGTGAAATTCAGCAAAGGCATAATGGAACCACACTGATCAGGGACAGCAGGACATGAACTGGTTGTGAGATCCCAAATGACGTTCAGTTCATACTCTTGGATACTTTGGGCATCAGGTGATATCAATGGCCATTTCAGGAACCTAAATTGGAGGTACCTAACATATATAAGGCCTATTTTTTAGGGCTATGTAAGGGGATATACCCCCAAAATATGGACAGAAATATGGTACTAACGTACCTCCATTTTAGGACCCTGGAGATCTCCCATTGATGATAGCATGAACCAGCCCTAAAGTCAGTTGCCCTCCAATGGAAAGCCTGGTGAAACCCCTTAGGCCCTTGGACCTTTGGACCTATCCATCTATGGCTGAAGGGAATTACAACCAGAAATGTTTGTGGGCAAGATAAACCACCCCAAAACCACCGGTCCCAATAACATATTAACAATCATATTATACATATATATATAATATTATATATATAATATTATATATAATATTATATATATAGTTAATATATAATATACATAAAATTATATATATTATATTTGTATGTGTATATATGTATAGCAACACCCGAAAATATATATAACACTTTACCACTTACAATCAGATCTTGAAACATACGTGGCCGATTGCTATATCTCAAGATATTGGATTTTGAGATATCGTATTTGTATAGGAGATATACCTCCAATCAATATATATATATATATACATATCAGACGTGATATATCATGTTTGGGGCGTGTTATATCAGATCTTGAAATCTTATTCCGAGGCAGGACATCCGGAACGCCTCGTTGGGCATCCACCCTCCTGACATGGCGCCATGGGCCTTGAGGAAATTGGAAGCACTGTGGATGGTTGCGAAATCCTGCACCAGTTGATAGGTGGTAAACATCCCATTATTTATGAGTAGGGTTTCAACCATCCTTTTGGTGATGCAGGATTTCGCAACCATCCACCGCATCATCATACAACCTTCAAAACTGCCAATTTACCCTGACAAAAACTGGTATTCAGCTGTGAAAGAAGGGGAACTGTCAAAACAGGGAGATTTTTCAGTGTCATTTGACGCATTCGACTATCAATGTGTATTTCACTAGGGGTTTCCTCCAAAAAACATGGGAATTTCATAATCCCAACTGACTTTCACTGCATCATATTTCAAAGGGGTAAACAGTCTCCGATCCCCAGGAATTTTTGGACCAGTTAGCCTCAACAAAGATTTACCCATTGAAAATGTATGGAGATGTTCCATCGTTTTTTGTATGTTTACCAGAGGGTACTTACCACTAAAAATGGTGATTTACCCACTAAAAATGATCAATATCCATCAACCAACTATAGCCATGTGGTCAATACTAACGATATCTGCAGATTCTGCAAATATGTTGGAGCACCCCAAACATGGACCAAAAGTATGTGTATAGATATACCATGCATATAGTCCAGTAAACTAACATAGCTATCGAAAATCACTTGATAGCTGAATGATCATAGCTAAATGGACCATTTCCATAGCCATCTTAAATTACCAGAGGATAGAGCATATAGGATTATTGGTTCTGTCGAAAATACTGGGTGCAGAGGAGCTGCCAGCATGCTGGAAACATTGGTTGGAGAACGTTGGGTCTAGGTGGAGAAAAACTCAAAAGATAGTGCATACAACCTGCAAGTTGTTGTTTGAAGTCTATCTTGCCACAGTGATGGCCCTTAACAGTAGTTATAAATGTGACTATAATGATAGAACACCTTAGTTATGCTATAGGGGTCAGTAGGGATTGTAAATCATAATTAATCCCATTTACAACTGTTAAGGGCCACAACTGCATGTTTTGCAATGGGCCACAAGTAGTATTCATTCATGTTGCTAGATTGCATCGACGTGCGTCACCAGGAAGTCGCTAGAATTCAGCCAGATGTTGACGCCTGAAAGGTAGGAAAACCTATCGCACTGGCAATGAAAAATGCTCATCAAGAACATGTTGCGACGCAGCATTTTTTTGCGAATCTAAAGTTTAGGAAAGATCTTAGTACTCTTAATATTGCCACTTTGGTCCCCTAAAGCTTGGCTTCGAGCCGTTAACCAAGTGGATCTCGGACAAATGGAGAAGTGGATGCACACGGTGATTCCATCACTTCCAAAAAAAAGCCCCTTGACATTTTCCAGTTCCAAGAGGTCTAATCCAAGTTCCACCAATACTGTGAGCCTGTTAAAGCAGGGTGTTTAACCCGCTCGAAAATTGTTTCTCAACTTCCAGATTTAGGGGGTTCCAGCAATGTTGCTCTGTACTGAATTAAAAAAATGCGTGTATGTATATGAATAGTTGTATGTTAGTTATTATATATATATATATCAGTCCAACCTCCACGATCAGAATAGATCAGAATATATACTCGTCTCATACCTCCCTATAAAATCGCGTCATCCCCCCTATAAAACAAAATCTTTATGGATATGTTGTGGGTTTCACCAGTTTCACCCCCTGATTTTATAGTAAATTGAAAGATATATTCGAATCATTGGATTGGTTTTGTTTTGAAAATATTAACCAGAAACCATGGTTTTTACCATGAAATATGGGGGGTTCCGGTTAAAATGTCCCCAACAAAACCAATCCAATGATTCGAATCATCCAGGATCATCCAATCATTTCGCCCCAAACCGGAGGCTGTGGAACGGGCCAAGTCCATGCGCGTGGACATGGGAGTTTGGGAGCTTGGAAAAAGCTTGGCTGATTGGATGTCTAAACGCAACGCTCGACGTTATTAACGACGTTGATATGACAGGAATATTATATATAACATTGTATATCCCATAGGATCCATATTCCCGGTCAATGAATGCCTATGGAATGCCTAGCCTTGGTCACTATGAAATGCGTTTTTTGGTACTTTTTAAGGTCATTCAATAGAGGGCTAAATGCTGGAAGATGTGTGTATCTATGTTTGGGGCACATGCTTGGTGAGTCTAATGCCTAGGTTCTCGTTTCATAGAGGATTCAAGTATTGATGAGGAATGGTTAGGAAACAAGGCTTCGACATACATTATATAGTGAAATAAGGGGTCATTTCATAGACAGAGAGGGGGTCATTTCATGGATCCATGGTGCTGGTATATATGCTAACATAAAGGGGGTATATTGATGGTAAATGTTACCATATATAGCATACATGGATCCTATGTAACATTGTATATATATATACGGGGTATGAAAAACGTGATATTGTTCATCAAAAGGGTGGTAGATAAACAATCATAATGGGGATAGTTAACAGGACACATCTAGCGACAATTGCAGCGACAATGTGAGTTGGGACAGTGTCCTTAAAGAATGGGTGATGGTCCCTCGCTTTACAGCCCTTTAAAGTAGAAAGTCATACTGTAAACCGCAGGAATTGGTGGTTTTCTCAGAGTTTTCTGACAAACCCCTAGGATCCGTTTGATGTTTACATTGGGGAATCCGTTGCGGCTATGGGCACTGACATGAAAATTCCTACAGATACATAGTAGGAATGGATCAAGAACTGAAGGCCAAGAGCCTTTGGCTCGTACGCATGAGAGCTCATGCATATACAACCAAGAAAGGTGGGAATTCCATCGAAAGACATGGCATTCCCATGTCGCGTTTTTTTAAAACCAACTTTCTCCTGAAATTGGTATTTCACAGGGGCTTTGACTCACTGATAGGCAGATAGGTGATCTATATTGCTACATGTTCAGGAGTTCGGCAGAAAGGCCTTTGCTGTATCCCGCTGAACATCATTATTTCGTATTCTTTCGGAATACAGGAATGGCCTTCGAAGTTTAGCTTGTAGATCTCACAACTGTCTGGTCTATTGATGTTTATTGTATACCATGTGGTATCCCCCAAATTAATGTGGTAAACACCTGATACGTCTTCAAATAGTGGGCACCTCAATGACCGACCAGGTGCAAAATATGTTCGCAATGATTTCACAAACACATTGGTTTGTTAATGGTGACTCCCAGCTCATGGATTATGATGGTCCAAGATATCTAAAGGGTAGATTGTTGACCCAAAAAAAATCATCAATCAAATTCAATCAAGCATAATTTATCAATAATGTCCAATGCCTTTGGCTGGTCTTGGCTTATCTTTGATATTGAAAGGCCCCCCTGAATGCATACATGTACATATATATATATATACATATATATATATATATCCCAAGAGTACCTGAAAGGTCTTGGGGTTGGATGCTGGCAGGTGAAGGAGACTCGCCTGAGTCGTTCCGATTCGGCCCCGTTGGCAGGTTGGGAAAACGGTTTGGAGGTTTTTGGGGACAATAAAGATAGATTTTAGGGTCAAACACAGGGATTTGCTTCATACAAAGTGAGAATTTCAAACAGTATTGCCATCGAACTACCAACATGGGCATTGAAATATTTAAAAAGGATTCAAAGCACGGACAACTTGGCAAATGTCATGATGGTTGAGGATGGAAATCGTCCCACATCATGTGGCCATGCGCTTGTTTGGGAGAGTTGGATGGCTGACATTCATAGCAATCCCCAATGCGCAGGTGGCACAGGTCCCTTAGTTGTCTTTGACAATGGGCATAGATATGGGGGTTATTGGATGCTGGAGCAGCTGGACATGGACTGTTTAACACGTATTGAGGACCTCCAATCCAACACATAGCCAGATCATATTCCATACCATTGACGCGTATCGACATATGGTTTGTTTACACTGCTTCAGGTCAATTTGGGGTGGATACTGACAAGTATACTTGCCATACAGAAAAATTAGGATTATCCAAATTATCCACGACTTATACAAACTGGCAAATACGGGGCAGGGTTTCAAGGTTGCAGGGGTCCACACTTACAAGGGCCCAGGTTGCAGGTTTCCAGGATTCCAGGGTTTTTCAGCTTCCAAGATTCGAGGATTACATGGTTCCAAGATGTTCCAAGATTCTTCCTGACACCACTCCCCCAAGAGATTGAAACCCAAGAGAATCGTTGTTGGGAGGTTCCTGCGTTGTGGGGAATTGCATCTCCACTTTCCTAAATGCAACATGATCCGGGCATATTGCCTAAATCTGGTGCCAGTTGCTGAGGCCTTCACATTGGGGAATGCTCAAAAGGGACGTCCAAGGGATGACATTGTCCTCTTCCTGTATGTTCCACGAGTGATGAATTTGCATTTGTTTGCCAAGAATTACTGAACAAGATTACATTTGCCAAGATGTACCATGGATATTTGCCAACATTATTGAATATTGAGTTAGGCACGTGAGACCTCACTGGATAAAGCGTTGGGTTTTTCCGTATGGGGAAATGAACAGATGAATGGGATTTTTCATGGGTGATTTTGATCCTTTTTGCCAGATTGGAAGTGGTTGACCACTTTTTTTAATGTGCTTCAAGCTCCAGGTGTAACCAACGGCGTTTCCAGAACTGGTCCAAAAAAAACGGTTGTTACTACTTAACTACTTTCATGACCGCCATTGTTCAATGGATGAAGGGTTTGATGTAAAGACAACAGTGCTTTCCCTCGGTGTAATGAAACCCCTTTTTATGCGTGTTATCCCAGAGTTTTTGTCAAAGTCCCAGGCCCCAAGCAATAAATGTGGGGTGACTTACACACAAAGAATCCAAGGATTGAGTATGTATATGTATATATACGTATAAATATATTATATATAGATATAGATATGTAAATACATTGCCATACAATACATTGTACATGTATGTATGTATTGACATACATAAAATATACATGGGTATAGATTCTCTATGTATATACATTATATACCAGTAGTACCGCACAAGGCGGTGGCGGAAGTTTCAAAAATAGGAAACTTACAGGAGAGGTTGGTTGTTGTGAATCACGGATGGCAGAGCGAATCCACTGATGGACCGAAAGGTGGTTGGAGTTGGGTTTTTTGGAGTGGTGGCAATGGTTGCAGTGGTCACATCACCACAACTGCTGGATGTAGTGTGGTATAGTGTAGTGTAGTCTAGTGTAGCGTAGTGTAAGGTAGTGTAGTTGTAGTTGTACTGTGGTGTAGTGTAATTAGTGTAGTGTCGTGCAGAGCAATTTAGTGGTAGTTAGAATTGCAGTTGCAGCTGTAGTTGTAGCGTAATGTAATGTAATTAGTGTAGTGTAGTAGTGTAGTGTTGTGTATTGTAGTGTAGTTGGAGTTGCATTTGTCTTTGTAGCGTACTGCAGTGTAATTAGTGCAGTGTAGCGTGTTGTGGTGTAGTTGATATTGTTGTTGTAGCTGTGGTCGCAGTAGTTGTTGTAGTTGTAGTGTAATTACACCCAGTTTGGAAACTCAATGCGTTCACTTGCTTTGTTGCGTTTAGTTTAGTTGGGGGAAAGATTTCTGGAAGTCGGTGCTTGCTGCGTCCAGCTGGTGTTTTGGAAGACATGGTTTGGAACATTGATATTTTTACCTGCGTAGTGTAATTAGATGTAATTAGTGTAGTGAGTGTAGTGCAGTGCAGCGTAGTTTATTTGCATTTGTAGTTGTAGTAGTAGTGTAGCGTAGTGGTAGTTGTAGTTGTAGTTGTCCATTTATCTGTCTATCTGCAATCTGCAAGCTTGAAAAGGAAGCAATTCTGCCAGACTTCCTCAATTTTTGAACTTGACAACATCAAAAAAAAGCAATTCTTCGAGGCATCCTCAATTTTTGAACTTGTCAAAGTCAAAAACGAAACAATTCTGCGAGACGTCCTCCATTTTTTTAACTTGACAACATCAAAAACGAAACATGTCTGCGAGACGTCCTCAATTTTCGAAGTTGACAACATCAAAAACGAAGCAATTCTGCGAGACTTCCTTCATGGAAAGTTGAGTGCAGAGCTGACGGCCACGTACCAATGCGTTTTGCGATTTTCCACTCCATCTGTGTAAAGTGCTGCACTTGCCAGGCAAAAGTGATGCCAGGTCAGACGAAGTGCTGCACCTGTCACGCACAATCATCTTAGCAAACCTGAAGATCTGATGCTCCAAAATGCAACCCCTCTCAGGAAATTGGCGCCCTGACCACCTAACATCTCTGATGAACATGTCTCTTGTACTGCCCCTGCCACGCGTAATTCCTCTTTCCAGATCCTCTTCAAATGTCCCACGCTGCCATCGCTTTTGGAAATGCTGCAAAACCCTCATGTTTTGCTCACTTTTCGCACGTTGCAGAATTCCCTGCGCAAAACCACATCTGAACTTTCAAAAGCGGTCCGAAAGCGGTCCCAGCATGTGGCGCTTTTAACATTTTGACTTCGAAATGTGCTTCACGCCACAACGGCGTGCACTTTTTCGATATCTCAACTTCCAAACGTGGTCCGAGTATGGTGTGCTTTGTACATTTTGACTTGGAAATGTGCTTCGCACCCCAACGGCGTGCACTTTTTCGACATCTCAACTTCCAAAAGTGGTCCGGGCGTGGTGTGTTTTGTGCATTTTGACTTGGAAACGTGCTTCGCGCCACAGCGGCGTGCACTTTTTTGACATCTCAATTTCCAAAAGTGCTCCGGACGGTCCGGACGTGATTTTTTTGGTAACTTTTTCACTTGCAAATGTGCTTCGAGCCACAATGGCGTGCAACTTTTCGTCTCTCGTCTGGCCAGATGGCTCCGCACCCGCCGCTTTAAGCGAGCCTACTTTTCGACCCTCCGGAGCCACAAATCATTGGAAAAAACACAGTGTTTCGTGACTTTGCTACCTTTTCGCCCACCTGGACATTCTTTCTTCTGACTTTCTTCTGACTTTCTTCTGACTTTCTTCTGACTTTCTCTTCTTTGATCTTCTTTCTTCTTGCTTCTTTCTTCTTTCTTCTTTTCTCTTCTCTTCTCTTCTCTGACTCTTCCCATCTCTGCTTTTCATCTGTCCATAATATTGTCTGAAGTTTGACTTCTAAACTTCCTTCGATAATATGTTAATATACATGCAGTTTTTGAGTATGTAATGACCATGTGTAAATATATATATATATTTATTTATTTATTTATGTATATATATATATATAAATTATATTGTCGATGTAATATAAACGGATTTACAATCATTTTGTATAATGTGTAACATACATACCTACCTACCTACCTACCTACCTACCTACCTACATACATACATACACATATACACATATACACATATACACATATACACATATACACATATACACATATACACATATACACATATACACATATACACAGACAGACATACAGACATACAGGGACATACAGACATACAGGGACATACAGGGACATACAGGGACATACAGGGACATACAGGGACATACAGGGACATACATGTGTTTCTACAAAGACATGCATTCACGATCGACATGTATATTAAGCAAAACTCGGACCCTAGAATTGAACGTCAACAGTATAGATGGGTCCCCGGACAGAGACAGAGCACCTTCCATTGATTTGGTCCTGAAATTTCAATCTCCCGCCACAGAACGGACAAATCTTTTGCCAGAACGTACAGACAATCAAACCACAACATGGTAACAAAAAAGCATTCGGGTTGACTCCAGAAAAACTCATATGGCATGCTGCATTTGTTGCAGATCTCGTGACAACAGGCGCTGATAAGTCCAGCATGGTCCTGCTGTGCCTGCAGTTGCGGCCCTGCACGGTTTCGTACGCGTAATTCCTTGAGCAGGATTGCGCGACGGCAAAGTGGCCTAGGTCGACTGTGCTCCAATAAAGGTAGAACGGATGCATGGATAGACGGATAGATGGATAGAAGGCTAGACAGAAAGATAGACGAGAAGATAGATAGACAAACAGAAAGACAGATAGACAGATAGATAGATAGAGAGACAAATAATCCCTTCCTCCTAATACTAAACGTCCCCCCCTATTACTAAACACGGCAGGTAATTTTTAGCATCGGGGTATTTATTAATTATTAGGGAACCCTATTCATAAAATTAAACCCTTGATAATAAAAACTATTTTTCCGATTTCAAAATCAATTAAATTTCTTTATATAACGCGATTAAAATATTGCCAAAAATTGGATTTCGAAGCGGACCTTATTAATAAAATTAAAACCATTCATAATAAAGATTTGAAAAAAATCGGACGGACCCTAATAATAAACACCCCGGGGTTAACTAGGTTTTTATTATTAGGGGGCAAAACCCACAAATGGTAGCTTTATTTTTGAATTGTTTTCTAAAGAGAATCAATTCAAAGTCAAATTGGCCAATCTGAAATTTTCTGAAACTGGAGATGGACGCCTGTTTTTAGTATTTGGGACGTTTAGTATTAGGCGGAAGGGATTAGAAAGAAAGGTAGGTAGATAGGTAGAAAGATAGGTAGGTAGGTAGATAGATGCATAGATGGCCAGAAAGATTGATATATGGTTTGATTGAAGTATGACTTCTTAGTATTTGGTCTCATGGAGATAAATATAGATTACACATATGTATGTGTTCCCAGTGGAAGAAGATAGTCAGTGGTATATTGGGAAACCATTCACCGATTGGGAATCCAACTAGTAGCTACCATTCACCGCGCCCTTTCTGTTTGCATCCCATCGTGCCCCCGTTTCAATCCTGTCGGAAGCAATGAAATTTAGTGTATCCTAGATTTTGGAGATATTCAACTTAAATGTAGATATAGTCAAATTATTGGTGTGCAAATTGAAATATATATATATATACAAACATGAATAACACATCGGGGTGCCTGCTACTTGTGGGGTACATAGATTAGATTGCACATGCAGGTCATGCCTCCATGGCGTTGCAGTTGTGGCTGAAGGCTCCAAACGAAGCTTGTGGATATTCCGCGTGGAGATTAGTCACGACCATGTGCTTCCAAAATGTTCCAGTTTGAATGAAAATTGTATGCTAAGTTACATCAAACCGCTTGAAGTTGGTGTTTTCCATGTTTGAATCGGAGGACGGCTTCCGTTTTTTGTGTTTGTGCTTTGTTATTGGGTGGGACCGTTTGGGGGGACCAAACACATCCTGGAGGGTAACCTTCGCAAAGTGAAAAACATGCAAACTGCATGCATTCACGATCATGAGTGTTCAAATGTATTCAATATGCAATATGCATGATTCAATAATTATTTAACTGTCAATCTTACACTCATCGTGAGCGGTGTGTTTTCCCATGTTTAAACATTGAACAGCTAAATATATTATCACCAGTTTATGGAAACATGTTTTTTTTGATCATGGTGATCTAATTGGTGCTGAATTTTATGTTGCAAATTTGAAGCATTGTGTTTTTATATGCGCCATGATCGAGACTTGGGACAGTGCCTATATGGTCACCAAACCATTAATCCCACTACCGGATAGACAACCATGCCTTTTATATCCTTTTTATATTTAATACAATTTTTATCCATTTTTGACCATGGCACATATAAGGCCCTATGTTTGTGGTTCCAGTACTGCAGGTTGACCGGGCAGTGCAGCGAGCGTTGCAAGTGGAAGTGGAGCGGATGGGAAAGGCGTTGGGTGACTTGGGAGACATCAAGTGGAAAATATGATGTGGTTGTCTCTTAAACTTGGGTATGCCCTCAAAATCACGATATTGCGGCGATATTAATTAATAGTGAAAATCATGGTTTTCCAATGGATTTAAACGTAGCCTATTTTCAGACAAACCAATATTTTTTTAGACAAATTTCAAACGATGAAAACAACATTTAAATCCTAGGTCTGTGGTTGAGCATGGGCCCAGCCTTGATTTCAGAGAGGACCGAAATGGCAGGTCTATTCCAACCTGACATATATTAAACCAGATATATATACATGTATTTTTATGTATTTATAAGTATTTGTGTAATTATATGTATTTATATGTATTTTCATGTATTTATATGTATTTCTGTATTCATATGTATTTATATGTATTTATGTATTTATATGTATTTATATGTATCTATATGTAGTTATGTGTATTTATATGTATTCATATGTATTTATTTGTATTTATATGTATTTATATGTATTTATATGTATTTATATGTATTTATATGTATTTATATGTATTTATATGTATTTATGTGTATTTATATGTATTTATATGTATTATATATATATGTGTATTTATATGCAAATGATAGCCACAACGGGTCTTTAAGTAGTTTGACTGGCAACAGGTGGATACAAATGAAGTAAGAATTGCAGACCCAAATGTTCGGATGAGTCACTGGCCGACCTTAGTGCGGCCGATGTCATCATATCAATGAGGTTTTGCAAGGGTAACTATTCCCAACTGTTTGTCGTACGTCAGGTTGGTGAATCGGTTGATGTTATCCAGGTTAAATAATATTGGCTTGCATCATCTGGTTACAATGGTTAATTCAACCTGGATGGCTAGTGAATAATATGGTGGTTGGTGAATAATTCAACCATCACAAGATCATTGGTTTATTCACTAAAAATATTCTGATATCATTGAACGAGCATGGTTGATACTGTAGGGTCATATAGGGGTTTACATCATCTGGTTACAACTACAGGAATTCGGAATACCCATCAACCAACCACTACAAGAATGGGATATTGGTATTTTTCTTGGTTCATACGGGTGTGTCTCAAAATGAGGATGCCCTAAAAACAACTTAAGTTTGATGGGAAAATCATGATACATTGAATGTTTGGGATTCAAAATTTGAGACAAAGCCATGCTGTTTGAAAAAACCAGGGAAGACGTGTATGACTAGAATGATTGGACACTGAAGATTAGACACTGATGGTTTAGGATGAACATGGATCCACCCTAAAATCCAAAATACAACGACATGATGGTGACGAGTTCCTTGTGACTGCCCCAAAAGGAAAACATTGCTAGTGGCAATTGAGATGTTTCTCGCTTTTACCAAGAACAACAGGGATGGATCCTGGGTTTCACATTGGGTTTCACTTGGCCGGCGGTAGTGAGCTTGGTAGTTGTAAAGAATCCTTCAAAAGCAGCCCCCTAAACGGGGTCTAAAAACCATTCACAAGTGCTTTGCTGCTAGTAGAAGGGGATGATTAATCATTTGTACATATGGGGGTTTCCATAAATGGGGAATCCCCAGTAGCTGGATGGTTTGTAAGGGAAAATCCCAATCAAAAAGAAACAATGGATGATTTGGGGGTACCCCCATTTATGGAACCCCCCATGTAGTTTCAAAGTACCACATCACCGAATCCAGGGTGAGTCGTCGAGTCGTCGATGTGCCTGTTAACCACCCAAGCTGAAGCAACGTGTTGGAGGATGCCGGGTTGACTTTTGAGAAACGCGACCTTCGTTGAGATATTCTCGAAGATGCAGATCTTCATTCCTGACTGATGATGTAATGAGGTAAACCAATAACCCCGGGCCCCATCCTCCGAATAACGTAGTCCAAGTCAAAGCCAAGGGCTTTTGGGGTGCATTTAATATTGGGGAAGGGATTAATAAGCAATCTCCAATTGGAGTTGAGTATTGTGTAGTACAGAAAAAAGATGATGCACAGTTACCCCGAAATCTTTGGTTCTGATTTTACTGGGATGTTTGTTTGTTTGAGGTTCACCACATTACTTCAGACATTCAGAGAATATCTGAAAATAGCCTTTAGGACGTGACTAAACGAGTCTCAGACCCACAAACAACCAATGTGCAGTAGGTGCACAGGGAAACTGACCATTGGGTTAATGCTCTGCAGGCTCTTGACAGTGATGACACCAAAGCGATGCAGGTTCGCAGACCGGGTGCGGTGACTTTGTTGGATGCACATTGAAATATTGTATGATTGTACCAAGACCCTCAAAGTACCCACAACAAAAGTGAGAGAGTGTACTCCAACTGTTGGGGTAAAGTACGTCTTTTTATGGGTCAATATACCAATTATTCTGGGCAAATCGAATGTCTAGGTATGTGTTTCTGTGTTTAGAGGACTGAGTTGCAATACCAACCATTGCGGGTTCGCACACATTGCGCTTCGTGGTCTTCTGTCAAGTTCCCAGTTTTCCAGGCAATGATGAGCTGGTGGTCGGCAGACAACAGTGCCTTTGGAGCATTAGATTGTTTGTACTAGTAGAAATCACGTCATCATCAGCAGCAGCAGCATCATCATCATCATCATCCTCATCCTCATCCTCATCCTCGTCCTCCTCGTCGTCGTCGTCGTCATCGTCATCGTCATTATCAGCATCATCCCCCCGAGACGACTCCCATCCTTGAGACCATCTCAATCGACCCAAGCTAGCAAAGCCAATCTCTTTTTTTGCTACTGGCTGGGCTGGGTCAAGGCCCGGATTGTTGTACTTGATTTTGGGTCAATTATAGCAACGGATTCACCCAATCGGTCATCTTTTGGCCTTCAACTATCAATTTTTGGGTCCAATATTGACCCGTACTTACTGATACGCTTGAAATCGCTTGAAACACAGGGATTGGATGATATTGGATGTGGGGGTTCCAATATGTTCCAATGACCCACTTGTACCGGAATCTGCCAAAATTATCCAAAATTGGCCATCTCCAAAATGAACCGCAGATTGGCAACAAACACATGATATCACTCGGGGGTGTTCTAACATGGGGAAAACGCAGATTTTGGAACACTTCACTTTTGCAGAAACGTACCCTTGATTGGACGAATGATTGTTCCAACCACCAAAAAATCGTGTCATGGCATCCCCAAATCACCAATTTCTGGCACACACACAAATCTCCACTTCAACAACCTAATTCGTTTCTGATTGGTTCAATATTGTTGTTTCTTCCATCCTGTTGATGATCTTAATTGACTTTCATGTTCTTCAGTGGGAATTGACAACACCGATCAGTACAGTATATATGGTTGGGTCGATACTCATGTTTGCTGCTCAAATCTGACTTCTTAATATTTAATGCTAATGTTTTCATGTGTGATCGTCAAATCAAAAACTTAGTATAGTTTAAAAAGTTAAAACCGCTTTCTCAATGTACCTTTCCTGTACAACATCATTATCCTGATGGATTTGCAGGTAAACAGACCATATTTCTGGGTCTCTTCTACTCTCCAGGTAGCATTGCGGGAACAGCGGCTGCAGCATGTCGTGAAACCCAGCAGGGAGAGTTGAGAAAGCCTTGATTTGAAAATTGGTGGCTATGGTATTGGTCATGATAACATATGGTAACCTGTTACCTTGCTGGTCACACCCTTTTGCAATTTCCACTACCAAAAGAGAGGCCTTGATTGAAGCCACCACAAATTACATATTCCACCTGAAAAGTAGATAGCAAAGTGTTTTTCTGCACAGTTATATGTGATATTTTTTTGCAAAAGTGCATGTGAGTTCCCTGTGGAATTTCCACATGCCCACATGCTAGAAGCATGTTTTGATCGACTTTTGGGACCCCCGAAAATCGAGCATGCTGTTCTTGTGGTGGCATTTGGGTTCGCATTGCATGTGGTAGAGGCATGTAGAGGCCCAAGCAGCCTCATGCAGTGTTATTTTTACATCACCTGGGATGTGAATTTTGTCACGACGTCCCCCCAAAATTTCAACAGGGATGCATACATAATAAGTGTTGATCCTTCCTTGGCGAAGATGTTTGCTACGTGATTTTGTGTAGTTAGTGGAGATACATTATACTATAGCGAGACAAACCTTACTTGTCTATCCAAGAGTTCCTTATCTGCATAGGATTTGAGATTCGCCATGGGAAAGCATGGTTAGATAGTGGGGATAACAGAGGACTGGCAAAGGAATCTTGATGGGATTCTCTACAGCCCCAAAAAGATAGAGAAATGTTTCCAGGTCGTCCAGGTTTCCGACTTTGGGGACACGTCCCCCATCTAGCTAAGTAGGAGCCAGCCATGTGGATCAAATTTGCGCCCTGAAGGGTCTTGGAGAACTGCGACCCAACAAGTGACCATCATTTTATCATATGGGAAGGTTATAGAACTCTTGAGGTTGGGTTTGTAAATGGGTTTACCCTCGGTAAACATGGCTTGCTGGAACATCCATCTCATGCTTCTCCCAGCCTTTTTCCAGCTATAAACCTCCAGCTATGCTTCGGGGATTTTTCAGCTGGCCACGATTGCCGGAGGGTACCGCAACAGTCGGAGTTGACCCATGAGACATGACGGGATAAATGGGGATAGCAACCAAGATGGGGATGTCACCAGCATTCACCATCCACGTTGATCAAGACTCACAAGATCAGGGTGCCAAGGTGTCATCAAGGAGCTCCAGATTTCGAGAAAATATGTTGCCATTGAGCATATCTCTATTTTGTCCCCAGTATATCCCTACAATGTGAGGCCCCCAAGATAGCTAAGTTGGTTCACAAAACTGCAATAACTATGGTTTATGGTACGCAAATAACTATAGTTACTGGAGCTTTTGTTAACCAACGTTCACATCACTGGGGGGCCTCACATTGTATGATTTAGACATTAAACTGTGAAATCGGCCCACAATCATCCATGATCACCGGTGATCCAGTTTTGCCTGCTTGAAAGCCCACAAGGTGGTGCCCCCCTAGTTATAATTTGGTTTTTAAATCCCATTAATTATAGATATATCACCTATAAACCATAGTTATTGGAGTTATCAACCAACTTAGCTATCTAGGGGGCACCACCTTGCATCATGCCCCATTGATGATTCTTTGCGGAGACACATCTACCTCAGGTACGTATTGGAGACTATCAAAAGGCCAAAAAAAACGGGATCAAAAAACTAACGATGCAACCATCAACCAACGGTTCTTAACCATTCTTATAAATTCGTTGTCCACAAAAAACCGGGCCATGAAAATTGGGGCTTATTCGCCATGAAAACCAACCCTTGGGCGCCAGGCTCCAGCATTTTCAGTGGACGGGAGGAGGAGACAATCAAATGACGTCCGTCCATGGGTCATGCAATGGGTATCCCAGATTGTTGGACGTAGCGATTTGCATCCATTTGATTTTTTGGACCCAGGACGTGTCCAAAGTTTTGATTGCTCAGCTTGTTTTACAATATATCAGAAGTGCACAGACCCCAGAAATGCAGGCCTGTTCTTCACCCAAACAGTGCTCAGACGTCCGAACATGACTTCAATACCCCTTGTCAACATGTTTGTGCAAAGTTCAGTTATACTTCCCGGCATACCCCAAAACAGATTACCCATGTCATGATGGTCTAAGCTTAAGCACTTCATTTCCCAGTCATTGTAGCATAAAGAGAAGATTTTTCCCTGCTTATCTTCATTACGCCATGCAATGATGATCCAAATTCACGTCATAATTGGGGTCAAACACATATGACTGGCTTGTGTTGCTTGCACGCCATGTTTGTTCGGTTATCAAGTATAGCCTGCGCATCTGCAGTATATCGATTTTTTGTTGCTGATTGAAGACATATTAAAAACCATACTTGATGGTGAATTCCAAATAATTCATCATCAATGATCATTATGTTGGCTACATTTTGCATAAACTATTTCCATAAAATGTGAATAATCATCAACGCCAAATTCTTTGTGGTTCTATTTGTCCATCAATCCCCCGTTTTGGTGAAAAGAACCACTGTATTTTTGGCACGGCAAAGAAAAAACCATGTGTCGATGGTAAAACCCGCACGTTCAACACAAGAGAAACAAGATGTTCAACCAATCTGGCTATAGCCTTAAGATTCAATTTGTTTTCCCTCTGGTAATTGAACAGTGAACTGAAACATCACCCTTTTCTTTTACGTTTTTCTTTAATGGTGTACAGTAGGTGGTAAATCTTGGAAAATTCAGCCACGACCAGGACGAGTCGGAGACCCTGGGTTCGATGCTGTTGAGCGAACGCCTGCATCGTCGCATCTCGGTGTGGTCGTTGGATGCGGGTGATGTCGCCATCCAAATGACTTTTTGGTCGTTGAGTTGCCATCGTTGCCCAACAAAAAGACAAAAAAAAAGAAATAACCAGTGAAATGATGGGATGGAATAGCTCCATAATAGTTGGTTAAGTTTATATCATTACAATTCCATTGATAACTGGTTTATAGGGCCAGAACTGTTATTGCCATGGCATGTTATGACTAGGCCAACTGTATCCAACTGTTGGGCTTATGGTGATTGTAACTGTATCTATATGGATTAATCAAGAAACACAACTGCTGCCTTTGTATATTATTAATATTATTAATATTATGGACTATTGCCATACAGATCTAGACTTTTCGTGGTGTCGGGGTTTGACGGATTTACCATCCAAACTTTTGGCAGGGGAGCAACAAACCACCAAGATTGTACCTTAATCAAGTTCAACTCAAGAGCTGCAACAAAGGGTTGATGTCCGTGAAAGACATAGGATGTCTCGTCAAGTTCATGAAAAACTGAAAGACTAAAAGTAATCAAATTCTGAATCATTGAGCATTCATATAGCCGCTGAAATTTGTGATAAACAATAACCTCGAGCAATCTAACTCTGTGAAAGTTTAAGGGCAATCTCAGAAAAGGATAGAACAGGTGAAAAGCATCAAGTTGAAAACATACAAATATGAACAAATGAAGCGTATTTTGAGATGTCCCTGTAACAACAGGGGGAAAAATTGAGCTTCCAATGTTGGGGTACGATTGGGGAGTCCCATTGGATTTTTATTACTTCAGCGGATTTTGAATGTTGCAGACTAATTTGTGTTTTGCGTATGGCTTGGATCAAACGCGCAAAATGGGAAACCCCTGCAAACCCAACAATAGACGTACAACCGATGATGGTTTATGTAACCGTGTTCTGTTAATGCAACTCCTTTGTAGGTGCACCCCATCAACAATAGTGGCCAATAAGCACTGAAAATCAGGATGGTGGTGAAAGACTCCTCAATAAGCCCTTTGCCGAGGCACATGGGGGGTACCCTTATATAATATCATATAACATATATAACTTTTATAGATTTCAAATGATTTCAATATATTTTCAAAAAAAACTATCAGCACCAGAAAGTTTTGCGCTTCACCCGGAAGTGCGTGATTTTTGTTGACACAAAATGATTTTACGGAGGGTCTGAAGCATCAGTAGTTTTCAACTTGACAACTTGACACCATATTTTTTGGGATGGATTATATGGTAGCATTTACCATCAATATACCCCAAATGTTAGCAAATATACAATACATGGATCCTATGAATTAGAGGATACTTGATGGAAAAAACCTCCGGAGAGGACAAAACATACAAAACATGACTGAAAAAACGACTCAAAAAGTATGAACGCAGAAAAACCATCCTCCCAATATTCCCCCCTGAATGGTTCCAATTACTCAACCGTGGTTTCTGGCGGTGTTTAGTAGGGTCAGGGAAATTGTCTAGTAGCTGGTCCTTGCAAGCTTCCCTCCTTGCGGCAAGGTTTTCAGTATCGGTCCTTCAACATGGGCGATGAAATGCCCCTGAGCTGAGTCTGCTGAGTGGTGGAATTCCAAGTTTCGGAAAGATAAGATCACGGTAGAAATGTGGGATGCAACGGATTTCACGGGGATATAATGGGGATATAATTGGGATATATATATATATATATAAAAGGGATGTTAGGGATATATATATATATAACATTGTCTAACCAACTTTCCTAAACATTGAGAATTTACACCCAAATCACGGATATTTTGACGGCAAAATATGATGTGATGCGACTTTGATATGTGTGGAATAAGGTGGATATGTCTATTATATGAGGGTTTCCATAAATGCTGATACCCCAATAGCTGAATGCTTTATAATGGAAAATCCTACTAAAATGGATGATTTAGGGGTACCCCTATTTAGGAACCCCCCATATATATATATATATATTTATATGGTATCTATCCGAAAATTCGCCTTATCTCAGGTTTTTTTTTGAGAGGAAAATCAGGAAATCACAGCCGCGTTGACGACCTGTCCCTGTGCCGCCCGGTGATGTTTGGTGGTTTATAAACCCCCTAATACAGGATGGGCCCCCCAAGATAGCGTTCAGTTGCCTGAACTAAGTGGCTGAATGCTATGGTTTATAGTAGATATAACGAACTAGTTCATGGAGGTTATATTGGTTTATAAACCAACAAACATCACTGGGTGGCCCCATCCGGTAGTTATATCGCCCATAAATCATAGTTAGCCGCAGTTCACCAAGTCCTACGAGGGCCTCACCGTGTGATGCCGCAATCCTGAAATGCTGGAAGGACAACTTCATTCCAGCTGATCTTTCAAAAATGAAGTGTTGTTTGCTTCCAAATGCATGTGGAATACCCTGAATACCCACCAGTAAATAAACAATATTAAACATGGTTTGCTGGAAAATCACCATTTAGTATAAGCCTTCATTTAGTTCGGGGATTTTCCAGCTTTCCACGTTTGATACCGGTGGGTACAGCATGCTCCCAGCTTGATCCAAGGCTTCCACATGAGGAGTCGGTTCCTCGTGTGGGAATCGAAGAGCCGGAACCCCGGAGAGCTCGGAGAATTGATCCAAGGATAGGGATTTTCTTCACCGGGTGGACTGATGTTTTTTTTTATCCATCAGAACATATCAGAAATTTATTATTGTAAACATATATATATATACACTATCTCGAACATATCAGAAATTTATTGTTGTATATATATATATATATATACACATGTACATAATGTGTGTATATATACATATATACACATTCATAATGTGTATCTATATATATATATTTATACATATAATATTTAATATAATGTTGATATATATATATATATATGTATGTATACATATACACATAGATACACATAGTATATATATATATATAAATAATGCCATACTAAATCCGCCCGCACCGAAGGTGCTGGGGCGTGATCTTCCGGATGGCACTCGTAAAAGGTTACAGGTTTACCTGGGGGGGGGGGTCCCATTTTTTGGGCCAAAACCTCCTGTTTTTGATAGGTCGTGACGCTCGCCTTCAAAAAACACTGTAAAAAACAGTACGGAAGACACCTGTTCGTGAACGCGCCCGTCCAAAATCGGCAAGCGAAAAGTGAAAAAAACCCGTGTTTTTCAACTTTTTGACCTCAATTTTTTGGTTTGCAACATCTTTTTTTGCGGTTCCGCAGGTGGCCGGGCCCGGAGGCGGATTTTTGAGTTTTTGGACCCGTTTTCGGACTGATTTTCGTCGTTTTGTGATAGCAGAAACACTGGTTTTTACAGTGTTTTTCTGTTTTCTGCATGCTTGACGGCTAGCTTCAAAACTTCCAAAAACCTCGTAAATTACGCTGTTTTATGTTACGGTGTGAATGAAAACATCGTAAATACCAGTGTTTTTTGACGTTGGTTAAAAAAACACTGTAAATTACAGTGTTTTTGGCCACCTGACCCTCAAAAACCATGGTATTTGCAGTGGTTTCTGCTTCTCACCGCGCAAAAACACTGTAAATAACAGCAATTTCGCCGTTTTTTCATGTTTTTCGTTATTTTTTGAACTGCGTTGGTCCGCTATACATGGCTATCAAATTCTTCGCGTTTTTTTTTCCGACAATCAGTACTTTCGGATGTTTTTGGTCCCAATGGCCGACATCATTGGCAGTTACGAGCGGCTGCCCAACGATGCGGTGCGGGCGGTTGCCGTCGCGAAGCGACGTGAATATATACACATAATATATACTCGTACATAGGAATCTATATAATTACCAAATTTGGGGATCATGCCATCTATATGGGACCATCCGAACAGTGCCATGATAACCCATTTATCACCAGAAGGTCATCTATAGCTGGGCAGCAGTGTGGTTATGAATGGATACAACCATGGTGGAAACCTCCATAAGTCTTATATATAACCCCTATGTATCATTATGATTATAAGTGATATACATTTATACATATATATCCACTTACAATTGAAACTGCAGCCCCATGGACTAATGGACTGTACCTACTTTTTTTGGTGCATCCCAGTAGTTGGGTGGTTTCAGCTGTTGCCCGGCTGCCTGGAAGGAGGGTGATGTTGACTATGAAAACTTAGCTTTTCGCGATGGCTGTTTTTTCACCAGCATGGGGGGCGGAGCCAAGGGCTGGGTCTTCAATTCCCATCAATTTCGAGAATTGGATGAAGGTTTTAATTTTTTCAGGCCCAAATTATAGAAGAATCAGGGTTTGAACCGTAAATCATTGTTCCATGTGGAATGCTCACGGCATCCAACCAGCTAGGCAGTTACATGCCCAAAAGCCCAGCCAGACCCCCTTGGATTCCGACCAGGTTTGAACGACTAGAACAAGCATTGTCTGCCAACTTCGAATCCCTCCAGGAGTTGACTGTGGCCGCTGCTGATTTTTCTACTTCATGTCAATGCCGAAAGCACCGTATTCCATTAAACTCAACAAAAAAGGCCGGATTTTGTGTTCGGCAATCGACTAGATATGATTAGATCACAACATATATATATATATATATATAGAGCAATGGTATTTAATATATATATATACATTTATATATAGCAGAGATATTATACAATCTCTATGTATATATATATATGTATATATATATATATATACACATACGGTATAAAGTATAAACATAATGTGGGTAGAACAATACTAAACCATCCCCCAGTCATCACCATAAATAGGTGGTATAGTTACCATTCCCCTGGCATGGTTTTACCCACATTAGTCACTATTAATCACCATTCATCGCGAGTAATCGCTATTGATCACTTTGAATCACCACATTATATAAATAAATATAAAGCAGAGATATATAATCTCTCTCTATGTCATATAAACATATATAATGTAGGGAAAAAACCATGCCATAAACCACCCATGACTGGGAATGGTAACCATACCACCTTCACAATATAAACATATATTATAATTATACATATTATATGAAAGGTATACATATATATATATATCTCCTATGATATGCAATATATATATATATATATCTTCATGCAGTGTATAATTATATATATATACATCTTTTGATTTATCTTCATTATACTGTTTCACCTCTATATGATACTATCTTCATTCTACAGGATGGGCCCCCCGTTCGATAGCGTTCAGTTGCCTGAACTAAGTGGCTGAATGCTGTGGTTTATGGTAGATATAACGAACTAGTTCATGGAGGTTATATCCCATAGGATCCATGTATGGTATATATGCAAACATCTGGGGTATATTGATGGTAAATGTTACATAATGTTACCATATACAGCATACATGGATCCTATGGGTATTGGTTTATAAACCAACTTATAACTGGGGGGGCCCCATCCTGTATGAAGCTATGTGTCACTGTCGTGAGGAGCTGAAAGGCAAGCTGGCGCCCATGGCAGATTCCGCTGGCACCTTGCGGTGTCCTCGTGTGGGAACCTGTGGTGGGAGCAAAAAAAAGGGCCCATAGGGATACAATGGGCATATGGTGGAGATTCAGAAGAAAAAAAACTACAGGAAACCAGGTTTTTAAAAGGAAATATTGGGGTTTCCTGTACTGTAATTTTCCCCTTCAACCAATCCAATGAGAGATACAGTTAGCGGAAGAATATCTAGAACATTACTATATCTATAATTAGATGGGGTAATATCTATATTTGGTGGGATACAATTGGGATAGGATCTAGGAATATCTAGAACATTCTATAACCAACTTGATAAAAAATGGTAATATTATAGCTATAAATACCTATAAGCAAGGGCCATGAGACGATGGGGATATAATATCGGGATATAGAATGATAATATATGATAATATTATACATCTAGTGGGATGCAGTTATATTTGTGTACTAGTAGTTGGGGCTATGAAACCAACCATAATAGGATGATAGGGATGTAAATATGGGTGTACAATTCATGGGATATAATCTAGGATACTGCCAACTTGATATGACCTTTGAGATTGGTTTGGAAATGGGGCATCCCTCAAATTCCAAAAAAAATATTCTGTTGCAAAGTTTGCAAAGATGCTAAAAGCATGACATTTCAAGGTATCCTATGTTCAAACAAGACCACATTTGTCTGTTCTATTCTTCTTTGCTGAAGTTATGGCCCTTATCACCTATAAATGGGATGAAATAATTCCTATAATTAACAAAGGTTATATACTGTGGATGGAAGGAATCCTGCACCAGCTGGTAGGTAGCTTACAAATCCCGTTATCATCCCAGTATATACAGTATTTCATAGTTAACAATCGTCAGCAGCTGGTGCAGGATTTCTTCCATCCATTAAAATCCCATTTATAACTGGTTAAAGTTGAAATATACCGACCCCTGAGCCCCACTATGTACAGCATAGGTAGTAGGTCTTATGTAGAGCATTGCCATAGCTATGAGTCCAACCGTAGTTCAATTTAGATACATCCAAAGTATGTACAGTATAAGCACCACTTACCTAGAAGCGTTAGGTAAGTAGAGGGTTGTAGGTAGAGGTAGGCTCCCTTTTTCCCCTAACCCAAACAACTACCTGGGTCAGGGGATTAACTCGTAGCGTTGCCGACCCTATGGCTCAAGTGCCCCGCGCAAAAAGGGGCATTTGGTATTTGTTTGTATGCAGGGTTTGGCGGATTGGTTCCCAACCTTTTGGGTTTCTGGTTCGACCCCCTGTTTCACTGGTTATCAGCCGTAAGGCTTTTGTTGGGGAACCTAATCCGGTAAAACCTGCCTTAGGCCCTAACTTCTTTTCGCACTTCACTGTTCTTTGTTGCATGCCCACAGGCAGTTCGGAACAGGTCGCTGCTGATTCCAGCGCGACGGTAACACCAGCCGAGGGAGTCGAGGCAGCTGGGGAAGCAGAAAGCGTTGAGGTGTCCCCTCCGTGGCCTGCTGAACCGGTAGCTGAGACATCTCAAAGCTGGGCCGACCTGTCTGAGGTACAAGCGCCCGTGCCTTCTGGTGTCGACTCCATTGTGACAGACTCTGCAGATCCACAAGGATCACTGGTAGAGGTTAAGGAGGAGATCCACGAGGCCGAGAGCATCAGTGCGGTAATCTCAGCAATTGGCTTGCCAGAAGAGGTCGTTGACGATCCCGTCGCGACGGAGGAGACTGGGGTTGACACTTCGCTTCAAGATCAGTCATTTTTGGAACCACCTTCTGATTTGGGTAACCCAGCGGAAGCTGCTTTCACGGACATTGATCGAGCAAAAGAAGAAGAAGAAGTAGATCCTCAACAAGATTCTTCAACTCTTTTGGAACAAGCCGACGAGATTGACACAACAGATTTTGCAGATCCAGCTGAAGAAGAACAACAACAGGTTGAATCTGCCGATCTTTTAGGTTTAGGTGACGAGGCGGGTCCAGTAGGAGAAGCATCCGTTGCATCCGAACCATCTGCATCCGTGCCTGAGCCTGCGGTCGCTGACACATCCGGTGTCGCGACAGAAGCCAACACTAGTTGCCCCGATCAAATAGTCCCACCACCAACTAGCCCTAATCTTGTTGAACCCGGCACCGAACCTATTCAGGTAGGCCATTCCCCCGCAACTTCATCTAATCCCCCACGCCAGAGGGTTAGGTCAAGTAGGGGTGGTGCCACAACCAGGTGGCAAGAAGCAAAGCGAGCTTGGTGGAACGACTTCGAGGCATACCAAAATTGGCTTTATCATAATTCTGGAGGGGATATCGTAGGTGGCTTTTGGTTAAGAAAGATTTCTTACGAATACGCCGACGAAAGCACTCGCTGGTTGATAGCTCTTCATTCAAGACTTGTTGAGGAGTTCCCAACATCACAGTGTTTGGCTTTAGCCTATCAAATCCTCATCCCATACAAAGAGTGGGCTCATACCTACGGTTTGGACAGGCGCAGAGGTACATCACACGCTGAGCAAGTGATTAACTCTGGTGAACTACCCCCAAAAAGGATCATCAATCAACGTATCTTAGGGGCAGAGCACCCGCGCCCAGAGGAGTGGGATAGGTATTATAGATACACAGGCCCACAGCAGCAACCCCGTCCAAAAGCGGAAAGGCCTGCTGCCGCAACACCCGTTGCTGGCGCGGCAAGTGGAAGCACAGTTCAACTCCGGCCCAGCAAGGGCCAAAAGAGCCTGGGCATCCACCGCCGAACTGGCAACCTTCTTTGAGAAGGCCACCTGAGCCAGCAGTGCCACCGCGTCCAAGGGTTACTGTCTCTGTCCATCCAGTCCCACAAGCCCCAAAGTCAGACTCTCAAGGGGTCGCTGCCTTTGGGCGCGACGTAGCACCAGTCCCAGTTGCTAGCCCTGCTAAGCCACCAGCTAAAGCTAGGCCTAAAGCTCCTGATTCTAGTGCCACAACCCTTGCAGATAGGATTCAAAGTTTGCCACCTCCACCTAGTAACATTCCCCCTAGTCCGACCCTTCATAAACAACCACCTTTACCACCACCACCATCTCATCCGCCGCCAACTGCACAGGAGCTCGCTGCCCGCGATCCCCAGCCAGCAGAGGCGCGAGAAGAGGCTGCTCCGGAGGATCCCAACGATCCACCGCCTGAAGAGGAGCAGTGGGTGGAGGAGGAGGAGGAAGAGGAAGTTTTTGAGGAGGACCAGGTAGTCGAAGTTGAGGTTGAGGCGGAGGAAGAACCTGAATTCCCTGACTTTACAACAACCGAGCACGGCCGTGAGGTTTCCACGCGCCGTCGTAGGCCTAAAAGAAATAGGTCTAACCCGCCATTGCCTGTCAATCTAGTCCCAAGGGAAACCCGTGAACGAATTGAACTTAGTCAAGAACTTTATAGAGCCCGAACCATAACCGGTGTTTCTAGGAGACCTCTTGCTTTAAGACCCCAAGTACACGGTTACCCCGAAATTAGAATTGACTCCGCTGGCACCTGGGCTAGGGTCGCTGATCCTCCGATCGCGTACGCGCCGCAGACTTTGCCGTTCATTGTGCCTCACGCCGCGGCACCAGAGCTTGGGGTCAACCCACACGAGCTTCCCGACTCGTTGTGGCGTGATCCTGCACTTAGATCCCATCGTACTGTTCTTGGTTCAAGTAATTTAGACCCCAACAGTGTTTATAATCTTGACACCAATAACCCCGGTACCGAATCTGAGGGCTCTGAAACAGCTGAGACTCGAACCGCCAGGTTTGTTTCATCAGGTCAGGCATTTGTCGGCCAGCAAGAACCTTTCGACGCTGGCTTTGCTGAGCGCACCCCTGCCCGTCCAATCGAGTCTCCACCAAAGAGACAGCGTCCTAACATAAGAACCTCCCGAATCCAACGTGATAAGCCGGCACAGCCCAGAAAAGATCCAGTTTCTGCTGCACCACCACCAGCAGCCCCTACAGTACCATCTTTGACTGTTCCCCCATTAAGCAGTTCTAGTAGTTCAGCTTATCCTCCCTGGAGGCAGTCCTTGCAAAGTGCTGGAAGTGGGGTCGCTGACACAGCCCGTGTCGCGACAGAGACTGCATCAGAGCCAGCCGGCTCTCCCGTTGCCCGATCCAGATCAAGAGCACCCTCAGCCGAGACTGCGCCCGCAGTTGCTGCCAGAACAAGGGGAAGGGAAGTACCAATTTCAAATAAGATTTCATCTAAGACTCGCAAAAGAGCTAGTTCTGTTCCTGTGCCAATCCGTGCAAAGGGGGCTGCTGTCCCCGACACGCCCCAAAGGCCAGAACCCTTACCACCAGCTCCAGAGCCTAAGAAGAATCTGCCTTGGAAGCATCCGCCTGTGCACATTGCACCTGCGACGCCAGTTGCACCTGCAGCACCTGCTGCACCTGCTGCACCTGTGGTAATTCCCCCAAGACCTAATAGGCCTGTTCCCCCTAATCCAGCTAATCTCAAGCCCGTAAAACCCCCTCCGCCAGGAGTTAGTGGGCCAAGACCTGCTGGTCAACCGTCCCGAGATCTTCCTCCACTTGATCCCGAAGGACAGCAGCAGCCGCATCAAGAGCAAAGTTCAGGTTCTGGCCTTGCACCCCACGTCCGTGGGCGGCCTTTGCCTGACCCAACACCAGATCGGCCAGAGGGGGTCGCTGGCTCCGTGCCGCGACATTACCAGCACCAACCCAACTTAGTCTCTAAGGTAGTCCACGTTAATACATCCAACGTAGTTGTTTGTATCGACTGGCACGATACCATTGACCAGGCTCTCAACCCCGTAGGTGAATTGTCTTCCCACTTAGTTGATAAGCTTCGGTCATTGACTAGGATTGCTGGTAATCAAATTGAGTTCCACATTGTCTCATACGCCGGCCAATCCAAGATTGAAAGCACCAAGGCCGGTGCTGAGCACGTGATTAGCCAGCTCATTGCGGAAGGATTGCCGTTTAGAGAAGTGCACCTGGCACGCTATCCTTGCGGTAGGCAGGGCAAATCCTCTATCATCTCCGCTCTTCAGGCACATTGTCTCATCGACGACCGTTCTGACATCCTGAACGAGTGTAGGCAACTCGGCATCAAAACCATCCGCTCT